CACTCCGTGGATATGATGCCATTTTTTTTGTATCTTACAAATCTTGACAACTTCACGGGGATGCTGAACAATTGTCTCTGCGCCCAGTTCATCTCCCTGAAACGATAGACAATGAACACGAAGCACTCATTCTTTTAATTACAGACTTCGCCAACATAGCTTTTCAAAAACGCCATGACTCATCTTTGTGTCCTATTATAGATGGCCTCCAACTTCCATGCCCCCAACATTTCTTACGTATGTTTCTCCTTAATAACGGCATCTTGTTCTGCTACTAGGCCCACCTTGATGGTTCTGAGCTTTTGCTCGTTGTTTCTGCGCATCTCTGCTCAGATGTTTTGGCCCTCCTTCATGACGCACCCACTCCTTGACACCTAGAAATGTCACGAGTTTATGACCGCATTCGCTAACAATTCTGTTGGTGTGGCCTCTACGGTTTTGTACGATAGTACGTAGTGGCTTGCGAACTCTGCCGGAGCCCTAAGACACCTACACTATTGCCTGCTGGTAGCCTTCAGCTCATCGACATACCCGATAAACCATTTTTCCTATGACAGCTTGACCTTCTCGGGCTTTTTCCCGAATCAGTCACCTGTATAATATTTGAAATTCCGTCGATACGTACTACGCATAGCAGTATCCCGTCACATGAACGCTTCCCACCAGCTGCGCTATGGATGTAACCAAGTTCATCGTTCATGGTGTCATCCACCGCCATCGTGATGCTCGTCAGTTGATCACATGTAGAACATGGTAGCTGTTTCCTGTGTAAAGTAGTACACTACCTCCTGAGATCTTTTTTATGAGGGGTTTAACGTCCCAAAACCACTACATATGATTATTATAGACGCCGTAGTGAAGAGCTCCGGAAATTCTGACCTCAAGGGGTTCTTTACTTGCACCCATATCTGAGCCCACGGACTTACAGCATTTTCGCCTCCATCGAAAATGCAGCCACCACTACCGGGATTCGATCCTGCGACCTCCGAGTCAGCAGCCGAGTACCTTAGCCACTAGACCAGCACGGCGGGCGACCTCCCGCGATTCTGCTCGACCACTCACAAGTGCACTACGACACACCAACCACAAACGATCAGACTCACCGAATGGCTGAACCACACACACCCTGACAGATATGCTCGCAATGTATTCGCAACTTCCCGTGCCACTTCCACGAGATGAACTCTTGATTGTCGATTGAATGTATATCGAACCAAAGTACTTTCCCAACCGATAGAAACTGCTGAATGTTCGCTACCTCATTTCCCACTGCAGTGCAAAAGGTGGTGGTGTCAGCCGATCGGCCGTGCATCAACGATAATTTGCGTAATTCTGTGCGTGCTACAGAAAACTGCGCGAACTTAAACTGAATGACACTCCTAGATCATTTGTGCCGAACCTGTCTGGCGAATTTGCCGCAGTAGTAGGTCACTAGCAAGTAGTGCGCCGTCACGGCTGCACAGGGCTGAATGTTTAACGTAGTGTAGTTTGCAACAAATTACGCCGTCTTCATTACTTGCATTGTTAGCGTCATGCAGTTGCTTCTTCCACAGAACACAAGCATTTAACTTCCCATTAAGTAGCGCTATTGTCACAGCTATGATCGGACTAACAGTGCGCGATTCCCTGCACTCAGATGTTGCAGGTTCCATCAACGCGATCGAAACAAGGATATCGACACGCATATGCTTTTCGCAACGTCGAAATTGTGAAAATTTGTCGAACAAACGTCGTTCGGACGGCACCGGTGAAGTCAAGGAGAAGTTAGCGTGGACAGAAGTCCTAACTGCATATTTCATTGCTCTAACTACCTCGCTTCGCTGGTCGAGCTCGAGCGTGTTGGCGGCATGTGGCGCTGTGTAATATCCACTGTAATTGGGATGCATTCAATGCACAAGAAAGAGTATGCTTTTATTTTAGGCTCGCTGAAGGATATTATACAATAAATACAATCAAAGAGACTTAGGAGCATGAAAAAACATTATTGCACGACGGGACGTGAAGTGAAAATCTCTGCTACTGAGCTAGCAGCTGATTGTTCATCGCCGCTGTCACTCTCAGCGCGTTGACAACCATCTATGTCCAGTCAAAACTCCTCGACGTCAAAACGGTTTCTTTCAACATCACTGCTGAAAGTAATGTGAGGAATTCTCTCCGCCAAGCGACTTCGATAGCACCTACAACGCGTCATTTGCCACGCAAAACAACCATACTGCGTCACTCACTACGTTTATCTGAGAGTGCGGAGATCATTTCGCTCCGATACCAGCAATAAAGGAATCACTTGCTGTGTGCTGCCATCTATCAATTTACGTAAAAGCACAAGTGGCGCAGCGCAGGCCAAGGTTTAGAAACGTGAATTGCGATCCTGGGCTACTTTCCGCGTACAATGACAGTTATGGGATTCATGCACTACAAAAGCACGCATGTAAAACAAGGCGAGTTTTAGCTGAAACGCTCAGAGTAGAATATTTATATTGAAAATGGCTGCAGAAAATCTCGTGAAGCTAATAAGTGTACTCTGTAAGCTATAATTGAGAGCGTGAGTTGCCACGTATTTTGACGAAACTTCGCGTCTCGCAAGAACGAATCAGATTTATCGTGTCACGGACGGTCCGGTATATTCACTGATTTACCAAACATACAAAGTGGTTTGTGTTCGTTTCTCGCTAACGCATTAACACTGCACCGAACAGGGGATTATTGGGAGCGTCTGCCTACTGATCATCATTGAGAGGACGCTCCTGAATTGCGGTAGGCGGCGCGACAGTCTATGAACATTGCGAATGCGTCTCAGAGGAGCATCGATATTCGGACACCTATCTACTTTTTGTGGCACTTGTATATAACTCCTCGCGTCACGACGCAGATGGCTTTCCATCTTTTTTATGGCCATCATCCGCCGTAACCCATCGATACCATGCTACATTCTGACACCCACTCTTTGTCTTCCTATACGTATGATGCGCTAGCTCGTCTGGTCATCGACCACAAAGCCACCTGAGATCGCTTATTTGTCCCACACACTAATCAAAAGTGTTTTACTATTGCCGGCACCGTGAGGTTCAGTGTACTCACCGGTGTCGCTTGTCTTGCTGTGATTGCCATCAAGATGTGTTGGTCTATGTAAATAACTGATGTCCCGGTACGTTGGCCGTTGCCGGGTCATACGAAAGGTCACTGACGTGACCTATGAAGTAGCTCCACTCAGTTTTAGGTTACCGACCACGAGTGATATAGCTCATGCTTCGCGAATCAAACCATACTGCTGTCTTCCTTAGACTGATCGCACCGGGACGGTGCTCTAGCCGCCGGCGGGCAATGTCAATGGCGAATATTGCAGAGCAGGAAGACGATAAAGTGCTGAGAGGAGCACACTGAGACTGCGGTGGCGTTGAAAGTTTTGTTGTTAAATATACGCTGTGTGCGTAGTTTCTTCCATGTAACGATACCATTACTTTAGCTCCGCGCAACTATATATAGCAGTGTGAAATGTTACCAACAAGTGCGACGGCCGCAATATCTACAAATCGGACGCAGGTTGTCCATGGTTGTTTCACGCGTCGTAGGGACCACGGATATTTAAAACAAAATAATATGGGACGCTTGGCGCTACAGTGGTGTCAATCCTGGTGGAATCGCGGAGGTAAACCTCCTTCTTTGTTTCTTTTTGGTTTTCTCTTTTTCTCCTACCCTCTTTTTTTCTTGATTCCTTTTTCATTTTTTTCTGTGTTTTTATTCTTCATTTTTATTTATCACTATTTTTCTTTGTCACTTTTTGTTCTTTTTCTCCTTTTTAATCTTCACTTGCTCCCTCTTTTTCAACTTTCATGCGTGTTTTCGTCCGCAGAGTACTCTGTAATTTGTAGCATCATCATAAAGAACCTTGAAGAACAAAATGAAGTAGACCTTTCTTTGGCGCGAGCGCGCGCTATGCTGTGGTTTTGCCTGCATTGCCAGCGTAGGATCGCTGTATACGACCGCCCGGTCCCCTGAAGTGCTTCGCACTTAAAAGCACCAATGTACAGACAGGTTAATTGCGAGGTGTGGCAAGCTTTGTCTGGCGATCCATCAGGCAAAGAAATCTCCGCCCGTTGGTACGGCGCTGTGCATTAGAAAAGTGTGGTATACATAGAAGGAGGATGGCATTCAATAAAGAGAATATGCACCAAAGGAAACAGGTCTCGTAATAAGCCCAGAACGAAAAGCGCAATACGTTGCATTGGATGTATGAGGAGCACCGGCGGCGTGTTTAAGTAAACCTCCTACATGTAGTAAGGAATATTATCAAAAACACCACTAGATCGGTTTGTGCACTAGCTGTGGAAGTATTAAATGGCACAAAAAGGATGAAGGCAGTGTCGCTGCATGGTTGGCGTTCTAACACGCTAATTGAGGTGTGCTGCGACAGGTATGCCACGATACAGCAAATACAGTTGTCCAAGAAAACACATTTATAGCTCGGATTGGAAATGGTTAACGAACTTTTTAGGTTTTTCCAAATCAGTTACAAGGTGCTAGGCATCGTATTGTGGTATGTTTGGGGCACCAATCACAATTAATACATCTACATACAGGGAAGAGCTGGCGCAAATGAAAACAAAAAGTATAAGAGCCGTTTTCTAATCATTGTTAGGTGCAGAAAACTATTCCGGAAGCCGTAAACAATCTACCTGGAATGAAAAGAGCAAACAACTTTTTTGCAGCACAATGGAGTGGCGGAGGGGTGGTTGGCAATATCACTGAGGTGGTTTTCCATCTCAGCACTGGTGCTAGCGACACTCCCCTTATGCAGTGCAATCTTCTATACACAAGACCACCGGCTTTAATTCTAAAGCTGAAGAAATCACTGAAGGGCACAATGAACTTCTTCAGGAAATACCACACAACTTTAAGCAATAAGCATAAATAAAACGTAGAACGGAGACGACATTTCAGTTCGTAAAGATTGCAAAAAAAAGGAAAAATTATAAGAAAAAAACACGCGTGGTAGTACTTACTTTATGGATAGGAGGGACAACGCCACAGCCGCTGCATAAATTTGGAGATCAGCGCTGATGTACCAGTAATGCACAATGCACTAAGAAACGAAAAAAAAGCAACAAGAAAAATGAATAAACTGGTTTAGATAATGCACCATACATTTATTTCAATATTTTTATAGCGGGCTCCTATGGACCAGTGCTAAGTATTTTTGTGTGTGTGTCTTGTTCCGTCAGCTAAAGCCGCTAGCCTCATCTGTGCCCGAATGCTATTACTTGAACACAGAGAAACGAGACAGTAAGAGAGGGTGCACATTGAGGGCGCGCTAACGCGTTTGTTGTTTTTGTGGTGCCGTTGACCCCGCAAAGAGCAGAGCCGCGCATAAGTGCACCATTATGTCAAAGCTATGCAGTGAAGCCACTCCTGACGCGCGCAAGAGGTAAATGCCATACATATGCAATTATTACCTAAAATACTTCGAAAGAGTCTATCTTCTTTTATTCAATAAATAAATGAATTAAGTGCTTTGCTGAACGTAAACGCATGCAAACCATTTGGACCAAAATTAGTTTCAGCCAGTGTCTGGTTCAGTAGAGAAAGGGTAATGTAGGTAAGCCAGAGTTTCCATCAAGATATACAATTGAGCAAAAAGAAACCCATACAAACAATGACACACCTGAAAATAAGAGGGGAAGGAAATAAATTGGGATGCTTCACCAGAAAGATATAATCATTTACATGCGAGTCGAAAGTTCTGTGCTTATTTTATTCAATTGGGCATTGAAAATTAAAGCAACAAAAACTCCAGCAATCATTTACCATTAACCGCGTTTAAGCTTAGGTGGGAGAAGAGAATATTTTGTGAGCATTCTGTCACAAAATAAAACAAAGACAGAAGAAGATGGAGCAAACAGCCAATAGGTGAACTGGGGGAATGCAGAGATGACTTTCAATGCATAAAGGAAAATTCATATGTATGAACTCGTTTTTTCTTGTTATACACAATAATATACAGAAATATAGAGAAATGAAGAGTTATCATAGCTGAAAATATTTATTACCAGACATTGTCATTTAAAGCTCGAGATTGAAGAGCGTGACGAATTTAAGAATTTATTTGTGTCATGGTCTTTGAGTACACAGTAGGTGGTGTCACCATCGGACGAATCATTCGGTGACAATTTTCCCAAAATCGGTGCGGGTAGGGATACGGCACGAACAAAACAGGCAGATTTGATTTTCCGGGCCCAAGCGCTTACGTCTCGATCTAATCCAAGCCATCCGGTGATCATTTTGTATCTATTCTATCAAAAGTACGTGGCCTCCACCTGTTCTGTGCCCCTTAATTCTGCTGCTATTTTCACGTCTTTACTGTCAGACGAACCTTGACCGATCCCGTGATGCCTACCTCTCATTCTCGCGCTCCGTCATCTCCTCCATTCTGTGACATAATGCATACAAAATAGCTCCCTTGCAGCAATATAATGAAGGGCCATCGAAAACTCAGTGTATATCCCCCTCCCCCCACAAAATTGTATATGCCTAGTAACTCCTCGCATAGTCTACGAACTATATATATTATATCTTATATCAAGGGGGTGGGAAAGTGAAGTGTGGTGAGAAGGTGTGCGGTAATTGTGAGAAGGGTTGATAATGGTATGAGCAGGATCTCTCTCTCTCTCTCTCTCTGTATATATATATATATATATATATATATATATATATATATAGTAGGTGTATTATTTCAATATAGAAAAAAAGGAATAAAAGAAGAAAAAAGAAAAAAAAACAAAAATAAGAAAGGACAATGTACATGTACGAGTAAGTCAGAAAAAACAAGCATGGTCTCCAGCTATCAATCTTTGTCACCAATTTCCTCCTGGCTTACTTCTCGGAGGCAGGAGAGTCTTCCGCGGTCCTCGTTGATGCCGGCTACTAATGTTCTAAATTTGAAAATAAAATATGCCTCACGCTGTTCGCGCTCACGCCTGTTTGAGAAACCGGACTGCTAAAGAGTTACACTGATATTTTCAAAACTGTGGTTTGGCAGGCACAGATGTCTAGATAAAGGTAACTTCGGCGGTGAAGTGGCGTGGTACCGGTGATTATTGAACCGCAGCCGAAATGGCGTGCCTGTTTGGCCGATATATTCTTGTCAGCAGATGTTGCAATATAGCATGTATATTACGTTACTGAAGTCACAATTAAGGCGTTCAGTTAGTCCTTTTATTCCTTTTTTTTTCACATGCACATACAAAGTGTTTCTGTTCGCCTACCACTTTATGACCATTGAAGGAGAACGGACGAAGATGAAAGGTAGAGAGCCGACCGACCCATTAAGGGGAAACCCTTTCCTTACGAACGCGGTCATGGACCCCTCCCGCCACCGCAGCGACAATCTTGGGTGGCCCGACACACGTCGAGAACTGACGAGCACGGGATAAGAACCGGATGTGGGCGTACACGGACATTTGGTTTCGTTCTCAGTGTTGACAGTAGTTCTTCCTCTTTTTTACTATCTTTTTTTTTACTTTTCTTTTTTCGTCTTTTTTCTCTTTTTTTCTTTCTTTTTTTAGCTCTCTCTCACTCTCGCAAGCATTTTTCAGGGCGAGAGGGACGCGGCAGCAACGAAGTTTGGAAGTTAATGTTAGTATAACTCATCCCCTGATGAAGGGAGGACCCCTCCCGAAACTGTTGGGAAATAAATATATTTATCCTTGTTGACAACACTCCCGTTATATATATATATATATATATATATATATATATATATATAACAACAAATGTGTCCAATATCGCTTTAAAATCAGAAAAAGACGCTATTGGCTCACTCTGTATTCACAGTAGTGTTTTCTTTAGCAGCAAGGATTTAAACAAAGGTGACAACACTATTTGTAACAGTGATTGGGAAAGTTGAAATAATTACCGTTTTAACTAGTGGAGTTCGGCCGCTAGGTCAAGTAGAAGAATTGAATTCCGTGACGCGAGAAATCCATTGCCGCTTTAAGATTTTAGAAAAGTGGCCCCTTGTAATAACTACAAATGAGTGAAATTCTCCTAAAATCATCGGCGAAACCAAAAACCAACGGACCGAAGAGCGCAACAATCAGACGACTACAGTGACATCACTGTTCAAAACAGGTGCTACTGGGGTGCAGTTATTTCTCATTCAATGACGTATGTGCGTCATGCTTGCTGTAATAACGAGTGCAGCTCACACACCCACACAAAGAAGTCGGTTGATGGTTGATGTAACAACGCTCTCTCATTTCAGTTGCACTCTTTCGTGTTTCGGCTTCGGTTTCGCTGCAGACTTGGGGAGAATTTCATTACTCCGCAGTTATTACTAGGGGCTGCTTTTCAATATCTCAAAGCGGCAGTCAGGCTTTCGCACCAAAGACTTCAATTCTTTCACTTGAAATAACTGGCCAGCTTATCTGATTAAAAATTCAATTATTTTAACTTTCCTAATTACTGTTCAAAAAATATCTTCAACCCTCTTAAGATGCCTGCCACTATGAAAACAACAATATATATATATATATATATATATATATATATATATATATATATATATATATATATATATATATATATATATATATATATATTTATATTTATATATATATTTATATATTTATTTATTTATTTATTTATTTATGTATACATATATATATGGGAAAGAAGTGTATACACTTCTTTCCCTTACTCATTAACGAAGCTCTCCTACTGGCAGACCTAGTGCCTTAGGTTATATACGAGGGACTATTGATGAGCTGCTAGCTCGCAATAAATTCACATGCTACGTGACGCCACACAGGCTCATAAAGAGTGTGCCACACTCGCCGCCATGGCTACGGAGGGCGCTGACTGACACTCCCACGTTTAAATTCTCATATATACCCAATAAAAGTGACCGCCATGGTAGCTCAGTGATAGAGCATCGAACACGTTATTCGGAGGTCGCAGGTTCAGTTCCTCCCCACGGCAAGTTATCTTTTCACCCACTTTTCTTTCTTCACATTGCCATTACGAATCAGTCTAATATTTTCCCCTATACTTTCCTTGACATCATTGTCTGTTAGATCTCATTATATATATATATATATATATAAATATATATATATATATATATATATATATATATATATATATATATATATATATATATATAGTAAGTAGTGGGGGAAACTCTATGGCTGGAGGGACGGCCGCCATGATTGCTCAGTGGCTAGAGCATCGAACGCGTTATACGAAGGTCGTAGGCTCGATTGCTGCTAACGGCAAGTTATTTTTTCACCCACTTTTCTTTCTTCCTATTTACATTACATTGGTTCTAATACCTTCCCCTATACACTCCTTGGCATTATGATCTGTTAGATCTCATTAATATTGTGTCAAAACACGGAGAAACGAGCCATTACGTATACACTTCTTTTCCTTATATATACACACACACACACACACACACACACACACACATATATATATATATATATATATATATATATATATATATATATATATATATATATATATATATATATATATATATATATATATATATATATATATATATATATATATATATGTGTGTGTGTGTGTGTGTGTGTGTGTGTGTGTATTTATATGCGTGTGTGTTCCGTAGGGTCCTGGTGTGGAGCACGTGTTCCCACACGATACCAAGAATTCAAGCGCATCACTCACCGTGTCGTCGACGTGAAAAAAGTTAGAGAATCCTCCAAGCACCGACCACCAGCGCAGCTCACAGTTGTGTACTTGGGCATCAATTTTTTCTTTCCAGATAGGACCAGACCCAAACAACGGCTCCAGGAACAGTATCAGCATCACCAGAATGGCCAGTGGTATAAGTCTTAAAAATGAAAGTGCAACATAATGTTGTCAGAAACAATCGAGAAAGATAATTCCATCTTTGATCTAGCAGGTAGTAAGAAAATTAGAACTATTTATTATGCCTAAAAGGCGCGCTAGAAGGGCAGATAAATATTTATTGATTAATTCAGCATCTTTTCCTGAAGTATACTAAAAAATTTAATTTTTTATTTGAGTGCAGAATAGCTGGTGCAATGAATCATGTAGAGAAATTTTATGTGGTTTTTGTTAATTTTTCTGAACATGAACACTTTATTCTGTTGAACAGAAGTCGACTTGTTCTCGTTAACGTAACAGCTCTCACCGTAGCAGAAGCGTTGCAAACGTATTAGTGCAAGCAAAGTAAACATTCATTCCGGCCACTTACATGACATTATGTTCTCGTCACACATGCAAACCTTCACAACACCTTCAAAGTTGTGTTGTAGTTGGAAGCGAACGTGTCGATCATACGAAATCAAGTTTTAGCTGCGCCTGTTCAAACGTTATTACGTGCTCTAATGTTCACTTTGTCGCAAGCAGTACTTTGGTGATATTGGACAACCAAGTAATGTTTAAGTGATTGGTTGGCACGTGCACATGGTAATAAAATTATCGAAAGCAGTAGCGCAGCATCTTAAGGTGGCCTAACCAACTTCGATGATATGAAGCTCTATGTACATGCGTAGCATTGGCAAACTCGCTCATGAGTCGATTCACTCTATCTCAAATTGAGGCGAGAATAGCCTAATACATGACATTCAAACTGTCAAACTTCTGATCCCCGAGTGATAGCTAGTACCGAAAGTCATGTTTCATTCACAATCCTAATCCATTCCCACCAATAGGTATATACATTTCAAATGCTGCTCTTAAATTCATCTTATTCCGTAGGTGCACAAAAATGACCTGTAGGAGATTTGGGTCATTTTTAATATTTTTTTGCTATTACGATCCTAAAACTGTCATGTTCACTTACTGCTCACGTGTGATGCCGTTTTTCTCGTTTTCTTTCTCCATCGTTACTTTTTCAAAATACAACGGTGGGAAATTCCTGAAGCCCTGCTGCTTTATGGCACAGCGAAATTATCCCACACTTCCTTTCATTCTATCAACACGAACAAAATGTCGCTGCACCAGAATTTTTTTGTGACAGATTAGGAAGGCGAATAAGATAATTCTTTATGAAAGAGGCACGGAATAAATCCTGGGTTCGTATAGTCCGGCATCAATTCTACAAAGTTTTTCTAAAAAGTTCGAGCAAATGTTTCACGTTGGTGTCGCACTGTTTTTTTTTAATGTGGGCTAATGACCTAGAAGTGTGGTTCTTGGAAAGTAGCATCTACTGAAGTCGTATTGCTTACAAAAAAAGGAGAAGGTCTTATTCGTAATATAAAAAACAAAGTAATGACTTCAATAATAGTAGTACGGGTAATGCTCTAAAAGAGTGGTTCTCTAACCGGGGTCCGCAAACACCGGGAGGTTTGCGAAGCCGTTTTCAGAGGTTTACGAAACCCATCCTAAACACACACACACACACACACACACACACACACACACACACACACACACACACACACACACACACACACACACGCGCGCGCGCGCGCACGCACGCACGCACACACGCACGCACGCACACACACACGCGCACACACACACACACACACACGCACACACACACAATGTACTCTTGAGAAACCAACAATGTTCCTTGACTAAAGTTCCTTCAAACTTTCAGTATGTTTTCACATTGTGGTGGAGCTGAATTATATTTTTCCTGCGTCATGCGATGGTTATTATGCTTTTGTTGCAGTTTTCAACGACATTGGAAAGCGAGCAAACTTTTTCTAGGCTTTCACATTCGAATTGGCTGCAGACCTCACAACTTATTCGCAAGCTGTTGAGATTAGATAGGCATGGTACGTAATTATTACGTTTCCTTGCGAGGGAGAAACAAAAGGCACCTGTTTCACACTGCATCGTTTTGTTAAATTATGGCCTCCCCCACCACTTTTTTTTTTCCTTTTCTCTCATGGGGAGGGGTGCCTCGTCACATCCAACGGCCCACACAGGGTTTCCGAAACAATTGTGACTGAGAATCACTGCTCTAAACTTTTCAATTTAATCGAGCATAAAACATTAAAACACTTTTTTAGGACTTCCCGATTTTGGTGTGCAAAGTATTGCCCTTTATCTAGTATTTAGTTACTCATATATTTATATTTAATACTACAGTGGAACGCAGTGGCCGGTCAAGGCAGCCGAAGGCATGATCTAAACGTCAAAAAGAACGTGTTTACAGCACCGTTTCCACGGTAGCTTCTGAGCGCCACCCGACACTCTTGAACCATTATGACCGCCAAGTGGCGGGCACACAGTCTTTCAAAAAGTGTCTCTACCCTGGAAGTGGAGGCGCTCGCACATCTATGCACCCTATGTCTGTGGCAACCGCAGCGTCATCTGCAAGTCTCTTATATGCCAATCCACATTGATTTGATATGTGGGGTTGAACGTCCGAAAACCACCATATGATTATCAGAGACGCCGTAGTGGAGGGCTCCGTAAATTTCGACCACCTGGAGTCTATATGGAACTCCACAGGACATGTAGAAAAAAAAACAGATGCGCTTAGTACGGCTCTTTTTTATTTTAACAAGATGTTGAAGAACTTGTTCACAGAGCATACTATGGTAATACTTAGTAAAGAGTCAATCATTCTGAGTTATGTCAGCAAAAGTTATTCTAGGAAGGAAAATAGAAGAAAAAGAATGACAGGGAGGTTAACCAGCCAATGGGTAGCCGTTTTGCTACCTTGCGCATAGGAAGGAGATGGAGGAGATGAAAGATGAAGAGGAGAGAGGGAAGAAAGATAAACACAACACATTCGGCAGCACACACACGCGCCCTAAGTCATAGTCCAGTCTTGTGTTTCGCGGTGGGTGACGTTGTTACAGCCGCTTGTTCAAGTCTGTGTCGCGTAGGAGTTTCAACAGAGCTTTTGTCGCCTTCTGTTGTAATGTCTTCTCTAGGGCACTTGAAAGAATAGTGTCCACAGACATTTGGCTGTTGTCGAACCGCGCTAGAACGGACGTCAGTGACTCTCTCTGGATTTCATACAACGGACAGTCGCACAGGATGTCGTGTAGCGTCTTTTCGCTACGACAGGCCTCGCAGAGAAAGCGTTGCCGTCCATTCCTATGACAAATGAATAAGATTTTCTAAATGCCACTCCTAGCCATAAGCGATGAAGAAGGGTGGCTTCTCTTCTGTAGAGCCCAGTGGGCATGCGGAGAGCCATCAAAGAGGACAGGTGGTGTTGACGATTTGTCTCGTTGCTTGGTGGGCACCATAGTGAAAACGCGAGTTCACGCGCAAGTCGTCGAAGATTACTGGCAGCATCGGTCCGCGGAAGTGGTATGGCTTCTTTTCGTGTTCTTTCAAGAGCTTCCCGCGCGGCAGAATTGGCCTGTACGTTCCCTATGACGCCGCAGTGACTTCGTAACCACTGAAACGTCACATCATGCTCTTTCTCATGTGAAGTGTGGAAAAGGCATCGAATTTCAAAAACAAGCTGCTCGTACGGCCTGCGACGCGGTGCTCAGAGCACAGATTGTAGGGCAGCCCTTGAGGCGCTGAAAATGGACCATTATTGCGGTGGTTCCCGATTGACCACACAAAGTGCAGCGCGCAAAGCAGCTAGTTCCGCTGCTGTAGATGCCATGGACTGGTCAGTCCTAAAGCTGATGGTAATACCTCCTGCTGGGACAAATACTGCACCTGACAAACACTGGTGGTTCATGGAGCCATCGGTATATATATGTACACTGTCTGAAGATTTCTCATGCAAAAGAAGAAGAGACAGTTGTTTCAGCACGGGCGATGAAATGTCACATTTTCTCCGGATTCCTCCGGACTTCGCAGCCACTGAAACGTCACATGAAGCCTTTTCTCGTGTGAAGTGTGAAAAAGGCATCGAATTTCGAAAACAAGTTGTTCTTACGGCCCGTGACGCAGTGCTGAGAGCATAGATTGTAGGGCAGCCCCTAAGTTGCTGAAAATCGACCATTGTTGCGGTGGTTCCCGATTGACCACACAAAGTTCAGCGCGCAAAGCAGCTAGTTCCGCTGCTGTAGATGCCGTGAAGTGGTCAGTCCTAAAGCTGAAGGTAACACCTCTTGCTGGGACAACTACTGCACCCGATGAACACTGGCGGTTCGTGGAGCCATCGGTACATATATGTACACTGTTTGAATATTTCTCATGCAAAAGAAGAAGAGACAGTTCTTTCAGCAAGGGCGATAAAAGCTGAGATTTTCTCCGGATCTCTGGTACACTAAGATGCACTGTGGGTCGAGTAAGACACCAAGGGGGTATCGATGGTTTAGATGCAGGAGTGAAGCCTGAGGGAATTTTCTCGTTGTACTTCACAATCATTTTAGCGAATGATGCTTGGTGCCTCTCTGCAGGCAACAGTACAAGGTGATGACAAGAGCACGTGCAAAGTGTCTTATTTGCGTTTTCAGGACTTCTACAGCAATGAGAGTTTGTATTGGATAGTCACCAGCAATTGCAATTTTTGTCTCGGTTGACCTACATCTGGGCAGACCAAGGCACACTCTCAGTGCTTGGGCTTGTACTGCCTGTAGAACACGAACATTGGTCTTGCAGGTATTGCTTAGCAAAGGCAAACTATATATCAAGAAACCGAAAAGCAAGGCTTTGTAAAGTTCCATGAATGTGTCTACTGACATTCCCCACGTCTTTCCTGCCAGGAATTTGAACAATTGGGAAATAAATAGCGGTCAGGCGCTTCTTCATATAGGCCACATGGGGACTCCATCAGAGGTCCCTATCAATAATGATGCCCAGAAACTGGTGGTTTCTGGCGTAAGAAATGGGTCGCCCGCAGATTGATATGACATAAGGGGTCATTGCTTTGCGAGTGAAGGTCACCAGCGCACATTTTTCTAGTGATATTATCTAAGAATTTCGCTTGCA